CTTATCTTTCGCATTTTCTTTGATGCCCCAACTCTATCGTTCGAGACCCAACCAGCCGATTCGTAGTACGATAGCATTCCTGTCTATTTCCTATTAAGCCGCTTATATGGTACCATTTTGTAATTGATTTATATTTTGTTACACTGCTGAAGTCGTGTGTTGTAGATGGGTATTCACCCACCAAGGATGCACAAACTTTTTAATTTGAATCACCCCGCTGCCTTGCGAGTCTGTATGACATTAAAGCTGCGAGTGGGCTACTCTAAGTCAGCCTTCTTCCTCAGCCTGGGCAACTGGGAAGCAGCATGCTCGCACAACTCATAGACCAATGTTTCAACGAAATTCAGGTGGGCCGACTTCGCAGTTTGTCGTATGCAGACGACATCACCATAACCAGCGATTTTTCACTGGCTTGTTTAGATTGGTGGTTTCTGTCTCTCAGTTTGGAATGACCGCTTTATCCTGCAGCACTGGCTACGAAATGCTCATGCCCTTATCCTTTCAAGTCATCTTTTGGAAGTGGTAGACAAGTTCACCTATCTCGAAAACTGTCGCAGCGCTAATGAATAAGATGTTTACGCGTTTCTAAGGATCGGATTGCTTTTGCTAACTTCCGCTACCTCTGACGTCGACACGAGCTAAGTCTCTCTGTGAAGAGCGAATTTACAACGCCGTGGTGAGATTAGTCCTGCTGTACCGTTGCGACACTTGACCTGTTCGTGCACTGATTCTGATCATCGTTCCCTTCAGAGCACTGCTAGTGTACGATGGCAACATCACATTAGGAATGAGGATGTTTGTCGAGGGATTTTCAGATCAGACAGACTTTACGGGTCACTGAGCTGCGTAATTTCACTGCACAGGTTATGGCGCCTTGGGCACGTGCTCACTATGCTTAGTGAGCGTTCACCTAGCCGTGTCCCGTTCGCGTGCGCAGAGGTCCGCTGGAAGCGAAAGCGATATGGCCAACAAATGACTTGGGCACAAAGTATGAAGGCAATGAACTCGACGTTAGCTGCGGTTGGGCGCTCTCGGCTCTCTGACTAAGGGCGCAAGGATCACGAACACACATGACTGAAAACCCTCTCGGACATGGCAAGGAACCGTGCACAATGATGAACATATTATGATACTTTGCTCCTATTACTACGGTATTATTTGAGAGATACCTCCCGTACTTACCCAGTGCGGACAAACACACTTAGCCTACCCGTTGCCTCTTGGATTTTGGCCTCTCGTGGCCGTGTTCAAGACTGACCAGACCGACTTGGCTGCGGCCCATGCGACCACAGGTGCTTGAAGTCAGTGGGGTAGCCTCATCTGTGCCTGTCGCTTTCGTAACAGGCGTTTTTCATCTTGGCACAAAAGTACTTTTTAACGAACCTGACAACGGTATCCTTGATGTCTTCACGCTATTGGCGGAGATCCACTGCCATTGCTTCCCAACACCTTAAGTCATTTGTTCGTGATAACCTCATTTTTAGCTGGCCCGGTAACGTGGATTCGGTTTGCTCACATTCCGCTTCCCTGTTCTAATTTAACCTTATAGTGTTTCCGTATTCTAGTCGAATCTACGCGGCGGTTATGTCTCATGTATTTCTTATACACAGTGACGGCATACAATCCATTCCGTACAAGCCGCTCCGGTGCAGCACCTCCGTCTTAGGAATTCTGTCAGACGATCGGATGTGCAGATTCCGACGCAGGTATTGACATCATTCCAGAAAGCGGATGTCCCTTTTGTGGAACGTCCATGTTACGCTGCAGTAGAACTTGGCTTTGAAATTAAGCTAATGGTTCCTAAGTATCCGGTATTCCAGCTTTCCGAAAGCCGCACAAGCCTTCGATAAACGGGTGCGCAGCAAAGTGGTCATCTGGAAACCTGTTGGCAGCGTGTTCCTGAGTCCTCCAAACCTTCGCCAATGGTTTTCGTTTGCGGGAGCCCATAGTTTCCACTTCTGGTGGTGTTGATAGTAGGTCCAAAAATGGTCGTCGCTGAGGCAAGTGACATCGTCAGACGTTGTCAGTCATCCTCGTTGTGTGCACAGGACGCGTAGTCGTCGGCAACCAACAGCATCCGGATGGTTTCTCTCTCATTCGGGTTCTCGCCCTGAAAAGATGGATGTTCAGCAATCCACACCATCGATACGGATGACTTAATCAATGTGCAATGGCCCAAAAGCAGATGCCAGTTAATGAGCTAAAGAATTTCGGGGTAAGCGGTTACACCCTTCTTTCAGCTAAGAACTAGGTCACTCTCCTGCGTTATTCGGTTCACAGAGTATATTTTATCTAAGGCTTCGATTGAGGACCTGAGTCCTACTGCTGTCCAGGTGTGGACGCCTTGGCAGTACACTAGTCCGAAACCAAACTATGAAATACACCAACACGGATAATGTTATGCTGCATCGGCCGTCGCACAGTACTGGGTGAACGAGAAGATTCGCCCGGTTTGCAGAGTGCGAGAGATATTGTTATCTGGACGCACCCACGGACTGGTTACGCTCAACTGCTCGAATATGTCATCGTACGCGAGCGCGACATGCGCGAAGTGTGCAAGACACGGGTACTGCGTGGAGCTGAGTGTGGTACTGATCATATGTTGGCGCGGACCAAGTTGTACATATATTTTTTTATTGCTCACCTGCCGTGAATGAGCGCAAATTTAATCTTCATTCCATAGGTACTGTTGAGAAGAGGATGGAGTTGGAGAAGGCGATGTTTACCCGCCTTGGCGATGTCGAACCCATAGCCCCAGTGAGTGACTTGTGGCACCACGTTCGTGACCGTGTAAGGGCTGCTGCCGAGGAAACCATCGGGTGCGCAAACTGTAAGCGGCCTAATTGGTTTGATGAAAACAGTGCGACTTTTGGCACATTGGTGCCAGACGAGAATGCAGCGTTCGCTGCACATGTGGCGGACCGTGATAGCTGGGATAAACGGGTCGTTTTCGTAGGCTTCGACGGCGATTGACTCAAAAGCTCCGTCGCATCAACCATGCATGGTGGACGGAGAAGGTGAAGCAGATGGAATTCAACGCCTACTACCGCCAACACAAGGCATTCTTGAAGGCGGTGTGTGGACCCAAGTTTCAGCCGCTGAGAACGCTGCTCGACCCCACTTCAGGCGCCGCATTCAGTTGAGGTGCAATCTGGAGAAAGCACTTCCACTGTCTCAACAACCCTTCAGACATTGACTGGACGGCATTACAAAGGCTGCAACAACAAGAGATGTAGATAATAGATGAGATGAACAGAGCACTTGCTCAACTGTGAAACGGCAAGTGCGCTAGAGCCGACGAGATCCCACCTGAGGTATTGAAACAAGGCGGACTAGCGTTGGTGAATGCGCTGCAACAGTTGGTACAACGCATGTGATTTGAAGAACAGGTGCCAGCTGACTTGAAGTATGCCCTTGTGCTACCGCTGTACAACGGCGAAGGGAGCGATCAATATGCTACGAATTATCGTGGTACCAACTTGCTGTTGTGTGGGTATGGTGATCGTACGAATCCAGCTCAATTATCAGCTGACCGTTGGGACGAGGCTGATGGTTTACAAGTCCGGTTCCATCCGTTCTTCTATAAGGCAGTAAAACTTGGTCGCTTCATGGGGAGGATGTCGGTCATCTGGAGCGGTTCCATCAACAGTGCTTGCGTCAGATTCTGCGCAACAGCTGGGGTAACCGAACTGCTGCGCCGCAGTGGCATGCATGCATTGGACTGCATACTTCTGCCGCAACACCTGAGGTAGATCGGTCATACCAGCGGCATGGATCCGACCCGAATACCAAAACAGCTGCTATATGGACATCTTAGTGTGGAGAAGCTGCAGCTCCAAGCCAGTCATAAGGCAGCGCAGTCGGCCTCGCACCAAGCACACGTGACAACACTTAGTCTTGTAATTAAAATCTGCTGAACGATCAGCATATTATTGACTCTCCTAGTCTTGACAGCGATGAACTGGAGATAGAGGGTCCATTCACCCATTTGGCAGATGCATCAGCAGTGGCTGCGACTGCTGAAATCAGTGGACATGCTGTAAGAGCTGAAACTGTTACAGGTAAAGTGAATAAAAGCACCCCAAAATACCGTTTGATCGGTTCCAAGACCTCAAGTGTCTTAAAATCGTTGGCTATTATTCGTGTTGAGTTGTGATAACGTAAGTAAGCGAATACAACACAGTGATGAACGATTTGTTTCGTTCGCTAGATTAACAGATGAATAAGTAAGCGAAGTTGCTTACAGCATGCGCCGCATGTGCTTAATCGTCGATTAACTAAGGAAGATCATATTTTGATTGTCAGATGCAGGATGATGTAAATATCTGTAGGGGATTCATTAACCGGATGGGGAAAACCTAGGCCAGTGTCCAACACTGGGCGCCGTTAATTGCTCTCACCCCCCCCCTAGGCATCTACCCTAGCAACGCACACTACGTTTGGCTTCAGACATCACAGCATATGTCAAGCTCACTGTCATCTCCAAACCGATTCGCTTATTTGAAGTGCAAGGGCAGATGAGCCAGCGCTGAGGTAATGCGGTAAAGGCTACAAGAAACCTGTATTGATGGTGCTGTCTTTTCAAAGTATTTGACTGTCTGCTCGCTAAGTGTGCGTGCCTTGTTCCTGAGTATAATTTCAACAGGCTAAAGGCACACATGAAGTCTTTTAACTCACGGCGACTCTACCACGAATGCTGTATAGCATACCCTGGCGACAAAACATAAACAAAAATACTGACGACATGCCAGTAGTGAAGGCTCTCCGTACAAATGCGTCGTATGGAATAGAAAGGTGCTTAAAATGTGTCGCATAATACAATGTATTCTTAGACCAATTATTTCTAAAGCAACTCCATTTGCAAGTCCAGTAATAGGAGCCTCTGTCGTATGGTGCTGAGAACGTACCAAAATAAGCTAGGCAATAAATAAGTAAGCTGTAATATGAGTAAAAACGAGTTCACAAGATTCAGACATAGAGAGGACACAGATGAATGAAACTCAGTCCTCCCCATTAGAAGATTCTGAAGAAGAACCAGAGGTCATCGCTTCGAGATCCTCAATTCTCCGTTTGTTCCTGACGTGCAGCATTGAGCCTGTCTTGAAAGATAAGCCTTGGCCAGCGACATCAGCTTGTGCGGCTTGCTGTGACGTAGAAGTTGAACCGGGTGATAAAGTGGCCGCGAAGATATGTCCACCGGGGACCGGTGCTCGGGGGAGACTGCAGTTCCCTTTGTTATTGATTGAGTTACTTCCAGGTGGAGCAGGGTTTTCTGATGGCCCACTGCGTGCGGGAGGTGGAGCTATATTAGCGCGGGAATGCGGCTCAAGCATGGCGGCCAAAGATGTCGGTCTGGAAAGCCCAGGTGGAGTGTTCGTGACTTCCGTGCTATTCAAAGGGCCAGTACCACTCCAGTGGATCGCACTATTTTGTGTTGTGATCAAAGGAGATGACACCATGTTCACACCCGGTAGGATCATGCTGGGGGACCCAGAAACTTGGATAAGAAAAACCATTATAGTTAGAAACATATGACCCATCAAATCAATTGTAAGCGTTTACAGCTACCAAACGTAACTGCCCTTAACCCATATTCTGCTGAGGCTTCAGATTTTCTCCATTTTTAAATACTACAGAAAATGGTGAAAAAATCTCATGAGCTTTGGATTTTTAAAACCCGGATATTTTATGGTAAGTGTGACTTTTCCAAATGTTCTTTTTAAGGACGATCGCAACAAATGATACCGTGACATATAGCTTGGGATTGAAAATATGCAGGTATTTTATGAATATTCCGTTATGGCTTGCTTATACTATTACAGTGTGAAATATTTTGAATTAGTTAAGTCTATTTCTTCAACAGGGATCTTAAACTATATTCTATACAAGATCTTATCACTATGATAGAAGGAACGGACGGTGTCCTGGAAAGCAACATCCACAAGCGTAGCGACAGTAACTACTACTGCCCCTACGCTTGTTTCTACAATAAAAGGTCAGAAGGTTGCCAGACCAAGACTATGAAGGAAAGATGTATGTCTGGGACCCCAAACTCGAAGACAATGGTCCGAACGTGCCCTGAATTCTTAAAGAACTTATAAATCATTCGAACACTTCTTTGATAAATCTGTTAATTGAGCGTATGATAAGGCAGACAAGTAAGTACATTCGTTCAAAATTTGAGCACTGATTGAGCATAAGAAAGGCTGAAATGCGTGCTGTTCTAGCCATTTTGAGTATCTCTGGCTACAGTCCATTACCACGAAGGCGTATGTATTGCGATCTTGGACAAAATGTCCACAATGCAGGCATCAAACAATGTATCGGAACAGATTTGATAAGATCGTGAAGTATCTTCATCTGGCAAACAATGACTCTCCAAACAGATGATAAATTTGCAACTGTTGGACAACTGTATAACCTTCTCAGGGAAATACTAATGAAATTCTTCCCCATTGAAGAAAATCTGTGTGTGGATGAAAGCATGGTATCATATTGCGGCCGTCATTGGACTGAAGCAATGTATCAGAGGAAAGTATATTAGATACGGGTATAAAGTGTCATCGTAACACCTCTATGCTATGCTATGCTGCCTATCTGCTCTACCAAGTAGCTCAGATAAAATATGACGAGACATTAGGTTTGACATATGACATTGTTATCGGCTTAGAGGACAAGCTCCAGAAGGATCGGCCCAATCACATCTTTTTTGATCATTTTTACAGGTGTGCAGCTCATGAAAGCCTTAAGCAACAATGGTATAAGAATGATGCGGACAGTTCGAGCAACTAGGACAGACAAGTGCCATATCGACAAGGAGGCGCTGGGAAAACTAAAGAGTGGTACTTTTGACTGCAGGTAGAGAGGCGGTCGGCGAAGGAAGAAAAAAAAGATAATTATTGAACAACCTGGTATCGTTAGCATTTCGAGGGGAGGAGTGGATCGATTAAACCAAAGTGTCCTTTAATATAAAATCAACTTTTGCAACGAAGAATGATGATGACCGCTATTCGCATTTCTCTCTGTGGTTGCAATGAACAATGCTTGGTTTTTGTAGAGGAAATTATCTGCGCATGAGCAAGACCAGCATGATATGGTTCCCTACAAACAAGCTGGAGTGAAAGTCTACTTGCAGGTGTATCTAGCAGAGATAAATGTACCACAAAATCTTATTGCACCTCGCAGCAAACGACAAAAGTTGAAGACAGAATCAGGAAATTTTGCTCTGGATACCACTTGGAATCAACGCCAAAGCAAAGAAGATGCCGTCTAATCTACTCTGCCCAGTGTGGGATGTGTCACTATACGGAGCATGCCCTGCGGCATACCACGCTTTTGGTATAAACGTAGGCTAACAATACTTTTGTAATGAGCAACTGTCTGTTATATTATCTCTTCGAATGAAATATTACAAACTGTTACTTCAAATCTGAAAGCAATTGTGCGTTTAATTCAGAATGCAGTTTTCTGTTTCCTACTAAATTCCCATGACGCGGTATCATATGTTACTGGTGTCCTTAAAAAAGACACTTGCAGCTCATGAATGCAATAATTATTACACATTTTAAATGAATATGTGTCAATGTGCTCTAGATTTGTAAATTAACGCACGTGGCAAGATATTCGATACTTTCCAATGAATAATTATCTTAAGTACGCTAACATCATTTGATTTACCATTTTATCCGCTTTTTATGATCATAAAAGAAAAGGAAACCTTTATGTCCAAAAATAAACTTGGGCTGGCCAAAATGATTTCAAAATAACGAGGAATAGTATGTTACCTAAAATTGCAAACAAAGAAATTATAAATAATAGAATAACTCAATGTCTTCAATTCCATTTTAGAGTGTCTTTAAAAAAAGACGCCTGCAGAAGATGGGTTAATTTAGTGGGATTTATCAAAAGGCATCGAAAGCGACAGTAATAAGAAATAGTAGTCAGGTGGAAAATGGTTACCTAGGACATCGTTTGGTGATAGCTGAATGGTAGCACTGTTACTAGTAATATGCAAACGTGACTTTCGTATTTCAATTGAATAGCCGTTATATTGAATGAAAAATCAAACCAACCGATGGGCGGAGTGCCGGTCTGGTAAATACATACCAGATAGTATCAATGGACGAAGACCTACGTGTTGATGTATCCATGCTGTGTGAACCACTGATTGAACCCGAACCGGACGTGAATACCGCATGAGTAGCATTGCTCACAGACACTACGGAAGCAGGGATAGTGCCGCTGTTGGAGATGGTCGATGGGGTGGATGAATTCGCAAGGTTAGCGGCCGTCGCAGCTGTTTCTGCCAATGCTTCTAGTACAGAAGGGCGGAACTGGCCATTGTCGTCCAGATGACCCAAATACCCCCGTCGTATTTCTTCTGGATGGGGGTAGGGACGCCGCGGATCCCCCTGCATCCAATTATCGGGAGCGTTCACGCCATGTGTGGCGCTGATTCGGTGAGAAAAACGAACGATTTCGTCAACATCCAGTGGATTTCTAACTGCTTTTGCCATTGTGCTCAACTTCTGTCTGGAATAATACAGGGCAGTGTTCTGAAAATGTCCATTTATTGGGTCGACTTACCAGAAGAATTTCTGATTTTTTGAGCTGTAGCTGGCAAGCTCTAATTTGCTTATCAGACTTTAAACAATCAGAGCGAATCATGTCGATTTTCTTCTGCAACTCACACTGAGCCTCAACTAAACCAGATGGAAAACAGTATCAAAAACGCAATCTAACCCTCCTCCAATGTGGATTTGATCTGTTGGTCTTTTTCAAGTAAAAGTTCGACAAGAGGTTCTAGGTTGACCGGTACTTGTCGTTTAGAGAGAATGAAGAGCATATCTCTGTACAAAAACGATAGACGCCGACTTCTCTCAAACGTACCGCAACATTGAGTCGGCATTCTCGAGGTGGTTGAGAAGTTTTTGCTTTGTTGACAAACGGCAGCTCATTGTGCTTCTTGGGTGGATGAGGTCCCTGGAAAGTTGAAAGGTGGAACATTGAGATTCACATAGTCACATATAGTTGAACATGACGGATTGGCTGATCAGAACAGATGAGGCATTTTCGCGGTCACCAGAAGTAACCAACCGCTATCATATTCTACCCAACACACCGGATCAAATATATATCTATTGATCGGTAAAAGTGGCATAAAAGCATTCATGCCGTTGTTTGCAGTCATTCAAGTCTAGAATGAAACGGCTTCATCAAGTGTGAAATGAGCACTGAAGCGCCGTGGACCCAGTTCTTATGACTCGCGCTGCCATGAAAAAGTGATGGGGAACTAACTACAAGTAGGATAAAGCGCAAGCACATAGAGAAACACAACCAGTGTAGGATAGATGAGAGAAAGCACAATTTACAAAAAGTTGACGGTGAGGAACAAGGCTGTAGCTGGGATCGACATCGACATCCAGCCGCTGATTTATTCGGATCCGAATCTTCTATACAGAAAGACGGCAAACGAGTCGCGTCAAGAGTTTGAATCAACCTTTTCATCGCCCTAATCAAGTTCAGGTTCAGTTGGGACCGGGACAATATGATAATCTCGCAAATAAATTGATATGGCGATTTGAGATTTCGATAGACCCAAAGTAGAAACCGAAGCACACCCTGGCCAGCCACTGACTGCTAAGTAGTCGCTGCAGGTCGCCTATGTGAAGAAAGTAATAGGGATAATGTCAAGTAAATAATCACGATATCGGTACGCGAGGAACTAAAAAATGAACAAGAGAAAGCTGAAGCTAATTCGGTTACGGAAAGGTAGGGTAGGGTACATCTAACTGACGCTAGAAACCCACAACAGTTGATTCCCTAACAACGTGATCGGGAAGCGAGTTCCAGCGTTCACTAACGGCGCGACAAACGAGTTTTCATCTTGACCCGGTCAGAACGCAGTTTATGCAGCGTCAACGGGTGACCCTGAAGACTAGGCAACTTAGATACCAAATAACCAGTACATTTCTGGACAGATCTTGTCCGTTAAAATACGGTAAGTGAGGATCAAGTCTCCTCTAATTCACTGATAGAGCATTGAGTACCTTACCGAACTAAGCAAACGTCTGTCCTCACAACCCCTGCACTAACCTAGTACCCACTATCAATAACTCCATTTCGTCCCGCACAAGATATAATGGATAAACCTATACATCGTATTCCAAGTAGGATTACATGAAAACCGAGAATAGCTTCACAAACACATCGGTCGTCGAGACTACGAAAAAAAACATTGAATAAACCATACCATACGGAACCCCCTACAAGCAGGAATGACGCCTCGCGTTCACATGTGAGTTGAAACTAAAAGGCAAGCGACTATTGAAGCAAGGTGGGGGAGGATCGAGAATTGGGGGGTTGAAAACAGGAGGGATAAAAGTGAAGCTGGAACGGGACGATAAGGGTGAAAAAGCGCAAGAGGGGGAATAAGAAGATGGGAAGGCTTGAGCAGTAGCATCCAAACCCCTATCCACCCTGCTCGATACAGCAGATAGGGCACCGTTGATTATCCTCTGCGGTGGCCAGAGCATCAGAAATTTGTTTGAAGTGTGATTCATTGTATTGCGTGGGCAGGATACTGTCAGGTTGCCCAGGCCTAGACAGGAGAACGATTAGGGTTCTCAAACAAAGCCTTTGGTCCAAAAACCTTACCGCAAGGCAGCGGGTTTGGCACTGGGCTACAAGGAGTCCGTTTTAAGGAATAAGAAGCCACCCTCATTCCAACCCCCAACCTGGAGGACCAGGAGGCTGAGTTTGTCTGGCCTCTAACCATTGACCAATCTGGTGTGAGTGCAAAAATGTACCACCCAGTACAGCTCAATGGATCACAGAGGCACACAAATCATCGCACCACGGTAAGGTCCAGCCTCATTGGTCAATGATTAGAGGTCAGACGAACTCAGTCTCCTGGTCCTCCAGGTTGGGGGTTTGAAATGGGATGGCCTCCATTTCTGTAAAACTAAATCATTGCCACCTTCCGCTGCCTCGCGGACAGTCTTTTGAGCCAAATGCTTTGATTAAGGACCCTAATCGTTCTCCTGTCGAGGTATGGGTGCCCTGGCAGTACCTCAACCTACGTACAATCATGACTACTTCGACCAGCTTCCACAATATCCTGCATCGACCGTCACACAGTTTAACAAGGGCCGCCTTATCTGACGCATACAGCAGAACGAACAATCGAAAATATGCTACTGCTGGTGCCTCCTGTTATAATCATCCCACTAAACGCAATTCCAAAAATAACAATTTACTGCTCCACAAAACTTCTAGCCCAATCGAAGGAAAAAAGCAAAACGCCAATGACCTTGACAAAATAATGTATTAATCGCCGCCAACGAACACTATACAACTACTGCGGACCTTGGCTTTATTTATAGGTCTCTTACTGACCTTCGACTTCTAGAATTGGAAGGTTAGCTACTAAGGTTAGTGGTTCCCCATATCTTTTGCCGAGGTGTCAGGTGGTTTTTAATCACGTGCAGAACTAGAACATTCCGGAACGTTCGAAGTCGATGTGATAATCGTTAATAATCGATTAAGCGCTAAAATAGTGGACTTCCAAGGCAATTCTTACTTTCTCCCGGACACCTCCCTTCGTTATTTTCCATCTATTTCTCTTACTCCCACAACACTTTCCATTACTAGTCTTCCTTCTATAATTCGCAGTTTAATTGACAGCAACCGTAATGTCACTGGAGTCGAGCCATCTGCAACTACCTTGACACACCACTCAATGGAAGTCTATCGGCAACAGTCCCCTATAAGATCAAGCTGTCTTATTTCCCTGGCGGCGTTCAACGTTCGTACCAAGGACAAATAGGTCAACAGGCTGAACTCGCAGGCACGTTGGACACACTGGGTATTGACGTGTGTTGTGTCCGAAACTAGGATCAATGACCTTAATAAGATTGGTGTTGTTGTTGTCGTAACGATGCCCTCGCCTCCGCTCTCTGCACTGCAAACCCAGCCGGGTACAAAGCAAAACACCGAAGCGTGCTACACCGAACTATATTTGGCACAGAACACGGTTCATTTTATAGGTCACAATCTATCTATCTATCTATCTATCTATCTATCTATCTATCTATCTATCTATCTATCTATCTATCTATCTATCTATCTATCTATCTATCTATCTATCTATCTATCTATCTATCTATCTATCTATCTATCTATTCTTTTCTATTATCTATCTATCTATCTATCTATCTATCTATCTATCTATCTATCTATCTATCTATCTATCTATCTATCTATCTATCTATCTATCTATCTATCTATCTATCTATCTATCTATCTATCTATCTATCTATCTATCTATCTATCTATCTATCTATCTATCTATCTATCTATCTATCTATCTATCTATCTATCTATCTATCTATCTATCTATCTATCTATCTATCTATCTATCTATCTATCTATCTATCTATCTATCTATCTATCTATCTATCTATCTATCTATCTATCTATCATAAGTTCCTGAGCTGACCCAAAGCCGTTTGCCTAGGCAGATTTCAAACCTGCTTGCGTTCCGCACTGGCCAGGTGCGGTCGCGCCCTGTCATGTAGAAACCTGTTGCATGCTGAAGGACTGATTTCATCAGCTTTCCGTGTGAATTAGTCGTGCTACCACCGGTCGAGTAGTAACCCGTGTGATGATGACGAACTGATTTCATCAGCTTCTGGCGTGACTCAGCCGTGCTACCGTTGGTCTGGTAGCAACTCGTGTCACGATGACAGACGTCTCGAAACCGTGCCACGTTCTTAGGCTACGGCCTCCGATTACCTCCCCTTTCGAATTGAGCCTGCTTGCGTATTGTTCTAACTCGACTTTGTTCATAGCTTTTCGCCTTGGGGGCAACTTGTAGCCATTGTGGTCGTTTTCGCTTTCGGGTCGGCCTGCATTGTGTATTATCTGGTGCTTGCAGATCCTGTTCTGATCCACGTAATCGTTCAGCTTTCTCTTCCAAATCAAACGTGTCTAAAAGGATGTCCCACGGTAGGAATGGCGGTTCTGGGGAACTTTGAGTCTTGCTGTGGTTCGGCCTCGGCTAACTAGCGTGCCTAAACCATTTCCCATTCCCTACCATTGGCTCGTAAATGAACCGACTCTTTCTGCGGGTCACTATTCCTGTTGAATCAACTGCGCCCAGTTTGTCCTCTCGCTATTGATTGCATGCATCCGGAGAAAGTGATGCAGCACTCACGGGTCAAACTGGGGTAGGTATCATTCTCAACTCTAAGGCTGAGCCATCGTTGTTGGATTGGATTCCGGTGAACAGCCGTTTGTGTGCAGCCCGTTTGAGGACACCATCACGTTAGTTGCAGACGGAAAATACTTCAGCTATTGTACCGCAATATAAAAGAAAAGTAGAAACCTGAAACAGAGGCATGCCGGCTGAGTCACCATTACCGGATGGACATCGTTCCGGAGATCGAACAGTCGGCTAATGCACCACAAAGTAGTCATATTATACTTAATAACTGAGATCGTGCTTAGAGGTGGAGGCTAAGCGGGAGGGTGAGGGACGAAGAAACTCAACACAAACGCCACTGAGGTCGGCTCCTAGCCATATCAACAATTGTATTCAGTCAAACGTGTTCATTGCCCTTTGATCCCCAACCAGGGAGCCGAGAGGCTCCAACCAACGCCAACTTCCAAGTAAGGGTCTTCATTCCTCTAGATTAAGTCATCGCTTGGCCACCTCTCCTCTTCTTTCATCCAAAACCCCGGCGCGCAAACAACGCACATCGCGAGAGTCGGTATGTTGGCGTGCGCAACACCTGGCTCAGCCATCGGAGCCTGGTGCGTGAAATAACAGTGCTGAGGGGTTCGCCATAAACAAGGCGTCCAACATGCTCATTGTTCACACGATGTTCCCACCAAATATGAGCTAAGCTGCGAAGGCACCAGTGATCGAATGCAACTAGCCTCCTGATGTCTGCTGATCCAATGGACGTTTCACAACCGTA